GAGGGAAAAGAATGAAGAANCTCAAATCCTTTACAAACTATATTCACTCCAAATGTAAAAATTTCAATTGGAACTCATTCTATTTAAACTAATCATTCATAAGAATTTAATATTAGAGAAGGTTATAATTCTTTCCTCTTAACCATCTTTTTATGTTATGTATGTCAAAAGGGAGAAATGAGAAGAAAATGAGAGGACGAATAGACTTTAACAATGGTTTGGTGCAAAGGAGGGAAAAGAATGAAGAAAATCATTTTTCCTTTAGAATCAGCTCATAAATTTTTTTAGCTCCTTGGAACCTTTTGGAAAACAATGTTTAGAATGGAGTCCCTTTGCACGTGTGTGTTGGGGAGTTTGCGGAATGTCAAGGAGAGGGGGGCCTAGAATCGATTGACACTTCGAAAGAGTTTGTACTAATTAACTTTTCTCCTGTTTGTTAAATATCCATGGGATGAAACAGTGGGATGATAAGATAATAAAAAAGGCCCTCATCACCAACTTAGAAAGTCTCATCCATTACTGCCAACTCCACTGCAGTTATTGTCACCACCACTAATCCCCCTTTCCACGTTTGTCATTACTATGTCCTCCATCTTTGTCACTTCATTCATAGTTATTGCTATCACCACCGTCGTCTTTACGAATTGCTACCACCTCCACTCTTGCAGCTATCATTGGAGAGATTTATGGTTGATATTTAATATATGCATAGAAAGGATATTTTTAGTAACTTAAAATTAAACCCACCTTCTTTTCATGTGCTAACCTAAACATCGGATACAAGGTTAATATGACAAGCTATCATATCTCCTTTTATCACTATGTGGGGAATCAAATTAAAATTAATATCACCTTATTATCATGTGCCAACTTAAACATGAGATAAAGAGTTAATATGAACAAGGCTATCCCCCTATGTCACATGATTCGCCGGCACATAAATTCGAGAATTGAGAGCAAATTTGACCAAAATTCACGCTCTCAAATAAATGAACTCGTCGACTCCAATTAATTGCAACAAAAGCCTAAAGCCTATTTAAATAACATTTCACCTTGCAGGTCTCAAAAGTCCGAGGCTTCAAAACTGGCTTACAATTAGTTGTCATGCGTCATAGCCTCCTTAAGCTATACTTGAACTTTTTCCAGCCAAAACAGTAACTAATAGGACCAGTCAACTATTATAGGCTTGTTGGACATCCACTTTTGCATCAATTGTCGATGTGGGATTGCATCCACTTGAACATGACATCAAAAATGTCTTCAGGTTTTTTCTTTAACCATTCATCATAATTTTTTAATGTGGGATTCAAAAGTCAAATTAATAATTAACAAAATTTAAATAATTCATCAAATATTTGTATATAAAATTTAACTCTTTAAAATATATTTTTAATAANCGTCTTTACGAATTGCTACCACCTCCACTCTTGCAGCTATCATTGGAGAGATTTATGGTTGATATTTAATATATGCATAGAAAGGATATTTTTAGTAACTTAAAATTAAACCCACCTTCTTTTCATGTGCTAACCTAAACATCGGATACAAGGTTAATATGACAAGCTATCATATCTCCTTTTATCACTATGTGGGGAATCAAATTAAAATTAATATCACCTTATTATCATGTGCCAACTTAAACATGAGATAAAGAGTTAATATGAACAAGGCTATCCCCCTATGTCACATGATTCGCCGGCACATAAATTCGAGAATTGAGAGCAAATTTGACCAAAATTCACGCTCTCAAATAAATGAACTCGTCGACTCCAATTAATTGCAACAAAAGCCTAAAGCCTATTTAAATAACATTTCACCTTGCAGGTCTCAAAAGTCCGAGGCTTCAAAACTGGCTTACAATTAGTTGTCATGCGTCATAGCCTCCTTAAGCTATACTTGAACTTTTTCCAGCCAAAACAGTAACTAATAGGACCAGTCAACTATTATAGGCTTGTTGGACATCCACTTTTGCATCAATTGTCGATGTGGGATTGCATCCACTTGAACATGACATCAAAAATGTCTTCAGGTTTTTTCTTTAACCATTCATCATAATTTTTTAATGTGGGATTCAAAAGTCAAATTAATAATTAACAAAATTTAAATAATTCATCAAATATTTGTATATAAAATTTAACTCTTTAAAATATATTTTTANTAATTAGTTGTCATGCGTCATAGCCGCCTTAAGCTATACTTGAACTTTTTCCAGCCAAAACAGTATTTAATAGGACCAGTCAACTATTATAGGCTTGTTGGACATCCACTTTTGCATCAATTGTNAACAGTGGGATGATAAGATAATAAAAAAGGCCCTCATCACCAACTTAGAAAGTCTCATCCATTACTGCCAACTCCACTGCAGTTATTGTCACCACCACTAATCCCCCCTTCCACGTTTGTCATTACTATGTCCTCCATCTTTGTCACTTCATTCATAGTTATTGCTATCGCCACCGTCGTCTTTACGAATTGCTACCACCTCCACTCTTGCAGCTATCATTGGAGAGATTTATGGTTGATATTTAATATATGCATAGAAAGGATATTTTTAGTAACTTAAAATTAAACCCACCTTCTTTTCATGTGCTAACCTAAACATCGGATACAAGGTTAATATGACAAGCTATCATATCTCCTTTTATCACTATGTGGGGAATCAAATTAAAATTAATATCACCTTATTATCATGTGCCAACTTAAACGTGAGATAAAGAGTTAATATGAACAAGGCTATCCCCCTATGTCACATGATTCGCCGGCACATAAATTCGAGAATTGAGAGCAAATTTGACCAAAATTCACGCTCTCAAATAAATGAACTCGTCGACTCCAATTAATTGCAACAAAAGCCTAAAGCCTATTTAAATAACATTTCACCTTGCAGGTCTCAAAAGTCCGAGGCTTCAAAACTGGCTTACAATTAGTTGTCATGCGTCATAGCCTCCTTAAGCTATACTTGAACTTTTTCCAGCCAAAACAGTAACTAATAGGACCAGTCAACTATTATAGGCTTGTTGGACATCCACTTTTGCATCAATTGTCGATGTGGGATTGCATCCACTTGAACATGACATCAAAAATGTCTTCAGGTTTTTTCTTTAACCATTCATCATAATTTTTTAATGTGGGATTCAAAAGTCAAATTAATAATTAACAAAATTTAAATAATTCATCAAATATTTGTATATAAAATTTAACTCTTTAAAATATATTTTTAATAGTTTATATATATATATGTATGTATATAAAATGATGCTCTTACGGTGCTCCTGCTCTTATTTTTTTTTTTTAAAATTATATGTTTTTGCACTCTCGCTACCGCCCCACTCCACTTTGTGTGATCTAGGGCTATCCTATCTCCTTTGTCATCCTGTGGGGCATTAAACAGATTCAAATTTGNCTTCCACGTTTGTCATTACTATGTCCTCCATCTTTGTCACTTCATTCATAGTTATTGCTATCACCACCGTCGTCTTTACGAATTGCTACCACCTCCACTCTTGCAGCTATCATTGGAGAGATTTATGGTTGATATTTAATATATGCATAGAAAGGATATTTTTAGTAACTTAAAATTAAACCCACCTTCTTTTCATGTGCTAACCTAAACATCGGATACAAGGTTAATATGACAAGCTATCATATCTCCTTTTATCACTATGTGGGGAATCAAATTAAAATTAATATCACCTTATTATCATGTGCCAACTTAAACGTGAGATAAAGAGTTAATATGAACAAGGCTATCCCCCTATGTCACATGATTCGCCGGCACATAAATTCGAGAATTGAGAGCAAATTTGACCAAAATTCACGCTCTCAAATAAATGAACTCGTCGACTCCAATTAATTGCAACAAAAGCCTAAAGCCTATTTAAATAACATTTCACCTTGCAGGTCTCAAAAGTCCGAGGCTTCAAAACTGGCTTATAATTAGTTGTCATGCGTCATAGCCGCCTTAAGCTATACTTGAACTTTTTCCAGCCAAAACAGTATTTAATAGGACCAGTCAACTATTATAGGCTTGTTGGACATCCACTTTTGCATCAATTGTCGATGTGGGATTGCATCCACTTGAACATGACATCAAAAATGTCTTCAGGTTTTTTCTTTAACCATTCATCATAATTTTTTAATGTGGGATTCAAAAGTCAAATTAATAATTAACAAAATTTAAATAATTCATCAAATATTTGTATATAAAATTTAACTCTTTAAAATATATTTTTAATAATTTATATATATGTATGTATGTATATAAAATGATGCTCTTACGGTGCTCCCGCTCTTATTTTTTTTTTTTAAAATTATATGTTTTTGCACTCTCGCTACCGCCCCACCCCACTTTGTGTGATCTAGGGCTATCCTATCTCCTTTGTCATCCTGTGGGGCATTAAACAGATTCAAATTTGGTTTCCAACTCTTTTTCTATCAAGTAAACATAACTAATGCACGAAGGGTTTTGTGAAAGGTTCACATGTATTGTTAGGTGTACAACCAACTTACTAGATTTAACCATCGAAGCCTCTTGCATCGTATTGTGTCGCCAAAAGATTTACGTTGCTTTTGATAGTATTTCTTTTAGTTTTTCTACTCAAAGAAAAAAATAAATGTTTTTTATTTTTTTCTTTTTTGGATTCACTCTCTTCTCCTAAGTTTAACCAAATGTTTGATAATAGATGTGCATATCTACAAGCTTCTCTAGAAGAATGGTTGCGATAACTTTCGCTTTAAAAAATGATTGAAAATCGAAGAAATAGGGGAATCAATAAACTTGGATTCAAGAAGACCATCCAGACCTCCATAAGGGTAATCCTAGGAACGATAATTGGAAAATTGTAAGCATATCTTTACTAGTGTGCAAAATAAGCATAATTTTGATTTTCAATACCTCAAGAATTACAAGATTTATAATAATATACGCATCGCATAAATCATCATTTTTAGTACGTAGATCAACTATCAAATCATCAATAAAAATGATCCAACGGTTTCAATCAAGATTCAAGGCGACGGAGGAGGTACTCAACTTCGACAAGCTTGGTGAGAGGCATCACCCAATCTCCATATAGGCGAGAAACAATGGAGGGTTCAACTTTGTATTTGCCTCTTTTCTCATCATGATCATTGGGGGTCACTTCCTGCCCAAACACCATGGCTTTCTTCTCTACCCTTTTCTTTACCATCTCTTCTACTTTCTCAAATGTCAACAGTCTCATCAAACAGTCCCTATCCTGTAAGACCAAGACATAAGCCAAGCCTCGTCGTAAGAGCCCTGACCATGGCATTTTATTTATCAAATTATTGAGAAGAAACAAATTCTTTTTTTTTTTTGCCCTTTTTCTTGTTTGTTTTGGAACCATTACTTAGTCACTCAATAAAATATGTCAACCTAGCACAAGGTTCTTGTCATTACGAGATCTATAAATGATCTAATGTACTCAGTTTTACATGTACCAAATACAGAGAGTTTGCTTCGTGACACAAACTCATGGCAACTAGTTTACAATGGAACAGTCATATCGTTATGTCAGGACCCACATTCCTTTTTTGATGTAACACTCCAATTTTAGTGAAATTGTATAAAATAACTCGAGTGCTACAATTAGAAAGGTAAAGGATTGTAAAGAAGCCATAGGTTTTTTATTAGAGAGTGCATGGCAGTACCTGAGCGTGAATCGCAGGAGCATACTCTCCTTCCTCGTCTCTGAATTTCACTTCGGCTACAAACTTTCCATAGTGAATCCTTCTGGAGAGGGCCTAACAAAGTATTAAGATTCGTGGTTAGAGAAAGATCACTCGTAAATTAGGTATTAGATTGAATGAGATTAGGCTAATCCCATTCAATCCAATCTTTTCTAGTCGGATTAGTTTATATTATCTTCCATTTACTCCGAGTTTGGATGAAGTTTAGGACAAGGTTAGTGTTCATGATCAGGATTGCCATTCCTACATTCAGATTAAAGTTTTTTGTAGGGTACAAGTGAAAAAAAAAGCAAAAGTACTCTTGCATCCAATCTTGTTCAAGAACAGAATTGATAATGACAAACATTTCTCACAAAAATACCAATTAGATCTGAATTTACACCACCTCCCACAAGTTTTCTGTTTGTACCATCTACGTGGCTGGTATTACTCGCATTGTAATGTCGAGTCATTATTAAGTAATCTAAGTTAAGAAAGAGTTCTAATTAGGTTTCCAAAGCTAAGGATAACTCCATGTTACTCAAAAAAAAAATGTGGGTACCGTACTGAAGTTGATCGACAGCTGTTGACTTTAGTTTGATTGATTTGCAGCCATTGATTATAAGAATGATAAAGTAATATAATATTATAACTCTACTTTTTACCCTTTAATCTTTGGACCATTCTGACTCTAACTGTCCACGAATTTTATTTCAGTCTAACCAATCATTTTTGTCAAAAGCTTAAAGNACCATTCTGACTTTGGGCTATAGGGTTTTTTTTTTTTCTTTTGTGAGTCTCAGACTCTAACTGTCCACGAATTTTATTTCAGTCTAACCAATCATTTTTGTCAAAAGCTNGACCATTCTGACTCTAACTGTCCACGAATTTTATTTCAGTCTAACCAATCATTTTTGTCAAAAGCTTAAAGAGAAAATGCCATAAGTTAACAACAACAAAAATAATAATAATGCATGTGAATCATATGACATAAACTTGAATTTGTGAGTGAAAATTTAACTTTTATTACTGATTAAAACGAATTGATACCATTGAAAAAGGGTGGCAAAATTGGCCGAAAAACTTTTAGAACCAGAAGAGAATCAGGTGAAACTCCAAGGGTAAGAGTTATTAAGTGACTTGTGTGTAAGAGATGAGGAAGTGTTGCAGTGGTAAGGGCACCTGCTCACAAGGATTCAAATCTTATTTCCATCCCCCACCCCCCAAAGAAAAAGTTACATTGGGCTAGTAACAATGAAAGTGTTGCTTCTTATTGTCACTTTGTACAATAATATTAAATATCATGATTATACCTCATTCATCCATTTTTCATAACATACTCGATTCGTAGAAACCGAACCAAATGTGATTTATTTTTTATTTTTTTTTTTGCACTAGGTTATCCATTTGAAAAAAATGGGGTCCTCAAAAACAGTGGTCATTAGATCNATTTTTTTTTTTTGGCACTAGGTTATCCATTTGAAAAAAATGGGGTCCTCAAAAACAGTGGTCATTAGATCATTACGTGATTGAGAACATTAAGTATTATAAGCATTTTTACCTGCAAACACTGAAGATCACAATCTGCAGTTTGTACAAAGTTCCCATCATCTCCTTCAGCAACAAACAATGGAAGCAGCTGATTAAAGTACATATCCCATATGTTCTTGTTTACGTTAATACCAGCTGCAGCAGGATGCAAAAGCTATAATTGGAATTAGTGCATTGGGAAAACAAAAACTTGTTTGTACCGTCGATCATTGTTCTAAAGGCAAACTATAGTTTGCATCCTTAAACTATTGCCCTAATTTAATTTTACTCATTGTATGTATTACTGTGTTTCTCGTATTGTCCCCTCATTTACCCAAATTAGTTTTAGCACTAGCACATTTAGAGAATACAAACATCCGTCAGGTGTTGGACTGAAAATGTCCACATATCACGAGGTATTGGGATAGAGGAAAACAGTGGTCAAAGTGAAAATATTCATATCTCTAGAAATCACAGCCAGGGTTTAAACTTTAATGAATGTTTACCTTGGGATGGTTCAAAGGCGGAAGCAGAAGAGGGGATGGTAAATCATCTGGGAAGAAGGGATGTTCTTCTGGGCTTTCGTACCTGCCAAGCTGTAATGCACAAACATATATTTTTAGTAGCTTAAAATTACATATTCATTTTTTAATTTCCTACTCTTCTTGATACATTTTGCTCTGAAACTGGCTATTCTACCATTTTTAATTACCATCAAAAGTAATGATATAACAACCGGTATATGTAAACCCTACATTTTTATCTTTATATAGTAACGTAATTATTTTGAAATGCTAATATTTGTGATGATGTATGCATGAACTATATGGATTGTTAGAGTAGAAATAAAAATGTTAGACGAGATAAAAGGGTATGAATTAGAAGTTAGAAAGTATTGCGGAGTTCAAACACATTTTAGATAAAATTTGGGTAGAAAGTATTATGGACACTGTAGTATTTGGACCATAAATTTTTACCTTGATATTCGTTCGAGATAAAATTTTTATAGTAGATAATAGCCTTCCAAGGTTACAACAGTGTATTTCACGAAAATTTTTAAAATCGATCTCTAAATAGGCCAAAACTTCATTGGAAGTTTCAGTAAAAACTAGTAGGACGTTCAAACGACAGTAAGTCTCAGTACTTTGGTGTCTGCAGAGCTCTGATAGAAATGCAGAAGTATTGGGAGCAACCAACGTTCGAACACCAAAATGACGTTCGAACGTGAATCAATAATTTGCACTATTGACGTTCGAACGCCAAATAACGTTTGAACATGAGTTACGAATTCTGACTTTCAGATTCGAGCACAGGGGACCATTTCACCCCCTATAAATATTTAAGCACACCTCCCTTGGCCCCATTTCAACATTTCTAACCCTAGAAAGTCCTAGAAAGGAAGAAAGAAGGAGAAAAATACAAGATCAAAGAAGATTTTCACATTGAAGTGGATCAAAATCTCAAGTTCTTCACACAAAACTAAGGAATAAAGTAGCAGTTTCTTCTCACTCTTGTTCATTGAAGTGAGGGCTTATATATACATATGTTTTGACTCTTAATCATAAATATTTGTTATAGAATCCTTGTTTCTTGATGTTATTGCAAATCTTACCATGTTTCGTGTGAATTTATGGTTGATAGCCATAAAATCCTTGTTCTTGATGTCAAAACCTAATTTTTGAGAAATATGGGATCTATTTGATTTGCGTTTCAAAAAATAATATCCGAAAATAATTTTTGAGAAGAGTTTTAACAAAGTGGTTTTGATATTTTTTAAGATAAAAAATTTGTTTAGTTAGATGATTTCAAAAATAATTTCACAATACAGAAAATAGTAAAACCTGTTTGGACAGCCTAAATATATATTTGAACAGTAATTCAAACATTAATAAAAAAATATAAAAAAGTTATTTTTATATTGACAATTTCATTATACATATATATATACTCATATTTAAACATCCAAAATTGTTCTCCTTGTTTTCAAAATTTTCAAAAAAAAACTCTGAAAACAAGTTACACTTGTTTTCAAAATTTTCAAAAAAAAACTCTGAAAACAAGTTACACTTGTTTTCTGTTTCTTTGACTCAAATCTCATTTTTTTTTCCAAAATTTAGAGAACAAAAATGCTAAACAAACAAGTTTTAGGTGTTTTCAAAATTTTGCGAACAAAAAACAGTTTCCGAAAACTAAACCAAACATGACCATGGGATTTTTCTTCTTGATATTCCTTTGTTATTGATTTCAAAACTGTAGTGCTTTGTTTGAAACAATAAATGTCTAGACTCACCAAGTTCACTCATTTCTTGAATATATGAAGACCACTGATACTTTAGAAACCTTGAACAAGCATTATATCCGTTAGATTGTTAGATTACATGAAGTTCCACTCTCTATTGTATTAGATTGTAATTCTCGTTTTGTGGCGTAATTTTGGCAAAATCTGCAATGAGCTATGGGGACAGAGTTGCACTTTAGCACCGTTTTTCATCCTCAAACGGATGGCCAATCCGAGAGAGTGATACAAAATTTAGAAGACATGTTACGAACTTGTGTGTTAGACTTCAAAGGAAGTTGGATTGATTATTTGTCGTTGGTGGAATTTGCNATTTAGAAGATATGTTACGAACTTGTGTGTTAGACTTCAAAGGAAATTGGATTGATTATTTGTCGTTGGTGGAATTTGCATATAACAATAGTTTTCAATATAACATTGACATGACACCTTACGAGACATTGTATGGGAGACCATGTAGGTCCCCGACTTGTTGGCTAGAAGCGGGAGAAAGTAGCATGTTTGGACCAGAAATTGTTCGAGAGACTACGAAGAAAATTCAACTAATTTAGGAAAGACTACGCACGGTTCAAAAGAGACAAAAAAGCTATGCAGATAGAAGAAGAAGACTATTGAAATTTCAAGAGGAAGACTATGTGTTTCTCAAAATGTCACCCCAAAAGGGAGTGTTTAAATTTGGCAAGAAGAAAAAATTAGTACCAAGGTATACCAGACCATTTGAAGCGATTAAAGCGATGGGCAAGGTGACGTATCAACTTCGATTACCAGTCCAGTTGTCAAGGGTACATGACGTGTTTCATGTGTCAATGTTAAGAAAGTGTTAATCGGATACAACGCATGTCATGGACTTGGAGGATATAGAAATTCAAGATGAAGCAACATATGAAGAACAACCGATAGAGATTCTCGATACCAATGAGAAAGTGCTTCATAATAAAGTCATTCAACTAGTGAAAGTCTTGTGGCAACATCATGGGGTGGAGGAAGCTACANCTGAAACTGGCTATTCTACCATTTTTAATTACCATCAAAAGTAATGATATAACAACCAGTATATGTAAACCCTACATTTTTGTCTTTATATAGTAACGTAATTATTTTGAAATGCTAATATTTGTGATGATGTATGCATGAACTATATGGATTGTTAGAGTAAAAATAAAAATGTTAGACGAGATAAAAGGGTATGAATTAGAAGTTAGAAAGTATTGTGGAGTTCAAACACATTTTAGGTAAAATTTGGGTAGAAAGTATTATGGACACTGTAGTATTTGGACCATAAATTTTTACCTTGATATTCGTTCGAGCTAAAATTTTTATAGTAGATAATAGCCTTCCAAGGTTACAAAAGTGTATTTCACGAAAATTTTTAAAATCGATCTCTAAATAGGCCAAAACTTCATTGGAAGTTTCAGTAAAAACTAGTAGGACGTTCAAACGACAGTAAGTCTCAGTACTTTGGTGTCTGCAGAGCTCTGATAGAAATGCAGAAGTATTGGGAGCAACCAACGTTCGAACACCAAAATGACGTTCGAACGTGAATCAATAATTTGCACTATTGACGTTCGAACGCCAAATAACGTTTGAACATGAGTTACGAATTCTGACTTTCAGATTCGAGCACAGGGGACCATTTCACCCCCTATAAATATTTAAGCACACCTCCCTTGGCCCCATTTCAACATTTTTAACCCTAGAAAGTCCTAGAGAGGAAGAAAGAAGGAGAAAAATACAAGATCAAAGAAGATTTTCACATTGAAGTGGATCAAAATCTCAAGTTCTTCACACAAAACTAAGGAATAAAGTAGCAGTTTCTTCTCACTCTTGTTCATTGAAGTGAGGGCTTATATATACATATGTTTTGACTCTTAATCATAAATATTTGTTATAGAATCCTTGTTTCTTGATGTTATTGCAAATCTTACCATGTTTCGTGTGAATTTATGGTTGATAGCCATAAAATCCTTGTTCTTGATGTCAAAACCTAATTTTTGAGAAATATGGGATCTATTTGATTTGCGTTTCAAAAAATAATATCCGAAAATAATTTTTGAGAAGAGTTTTAACAAAGTGGTTTTGATATTTTTTAAGATAAAAAATTTGTTTAGTTAGATGATTTCAAAAATAATTTCACAATACAGAAAATAGTAAAACCTGTTTGGACAGCCTAAATATATATTTGAACAGTAATTCAAACATTAATAAAAAAATATAAAAAAGTTATTTTTATATTGACAATTTCATTATACATATATATATACTCATATTTAAACATCCAAAATTGTTCTCCTTGTTTTCAAAATTTTCAAAAAAAAACTCTGAAAACAAGTTACACTTGTTTTCAAAATTTTCAAAAAAAAACTCTGAAAACAAGTTACACTTGTTTTCTGTTTCTTTGACTCAAATCTCATTTTTTTTTCCAAAATTTAGAGAACAAAAATGCTAAACAAACAAGTTTTAGGTGTTTTCAAAATTTTGCGAACAAAAAACAGTTTCCGAAAACTAAACCAAACATGACCATGGGATTTTTCTTCTTGATATTCCTTTGTTATTGATTTCAAAACTGTAGTGCTTTGTTTGAAACAATAAATGTCTAGACTCACCAAGTTCACTCATTTCTTGAATATATGAAGACCACTGATACTTTAGAAACCTTGAACAAGCATTATATCCGTTAGATTGTTAGATTACATGAAGTTCCACTCTCTATTGTGTTAGATTATAATTCTCGTTTTGTGGCGTAATTTTGGCAAAATCTGCAATGAGCTATGGGGACAGAGTTGCACTTTAGCACCGTTTTTCATCCTCAAACGGATGGCCAATCCGAGAGAGTGATACAAAATTTAGAAGACATGTTACGAACTTGTGTGTTAGACTTCAAAGGAAATTGGATTGATTATTTGTCGTTGGTGGAATTTGCATATAACAATAGTTTTCAATATAACATTGACATGACACCTTACGAGACATTGTATGGGAGACCATGTAGGTCCCCGACTTGTTGGCTAGAAGCGGGAGAAAGTAGCATGTTTGGACCAGAAATTGTTCGAGAGACTACGAAGAAAATTCAACTAATTTAGGAAAGACTACGCACGGTTCAAAAGAGACAAAAAAGCCATGCAGATAGAAGAAGAAGACCATTGAAATTTCAAGAGGAAGACTATGTGTTTCTCAAAATGTCACCCCAAAAGGGAGTGTTTAAATTTGGCAAGAAGAAAAAATTAGTACCAAGGTATACCAGACCATTTGAAGCGATTAAAGCGATGGGCAAGGTGACGTATCAACTTCGATTACCAGTCCAGTTGTCAAGGGTACATGACGTGTTTCATGTGTCAATGTTAAGAAAGTGTTAATCGGATACAACGCATGTCATGGACTTGGAGGATATAGAAATTCAAGATGAAGCAACATATGAAGAA